GTTCCACCATCTTGGAACGACACATGCAAACAGTCTGGATTGTCTTAAGCGTGGTGAAGGCACTGCTAGACGACAATCCATTGATGACCGGAGTGATCGAGTTGTGACATAAGCCTTTGCAAGGGGATTCAAGTAGATGGGAGCCATACCCTTAAGCACTTTGTAGGCTAGCATCAGGGACTTGAATTTGATACGGGCAGCCAGAGGTAACCAGTGGAGTTCAATGAACAGAGGGGTGACGTGAGATTACTCTGTAAGTTGCTTTGGATTTGGTCTGCCAAATGCATAAACATAAACATACTCATGTTTCTCGCCAAAAACTCAATTTCCCTTTTCTTTACGTTACACTTGAACGCATCATGATAACCTAATTGTGGTTTTACTGAGCCAACCTGAACACATCATCACGCAGCACGTCTGAAACTTTATTTACTTTTCAAGCTAACTAGCTTGTATGCTGCCGATTACAACACGGATTTCACAATTACTATTGTAATAATAAAAAAACACCAGACTCCATAGTGGTATCGATAAGGCCAAACGGTGTTGATTTTCGGGTTTTGAAAAAAGTGGAACCGGGTCCTTGATAGAACCGGCTGTGCGTGTGTTTCAGGGTGCCTGCGGCTCCTGTGGAGAGCAGCTCCTGGGAGCTGTGTGTGCAGCTGGGGGAGGGAAAACACCACCTGGAGGTCACTAAATCAGGAAACCTCTACACTGTGAGTGATGGAGAGATGAGGCTCCTCAAAGCCTTGAAGGGTTACATACAGTAGGGTCACTCATGTGGTGCCCTCTAGTGGACAGTCCATGTAAAACACCCAGAGTGATTCTAAAGAGACTCTGGATTTGGGGTCTGAAGCTTTGAGGGAATTGATCAATGGTGTGATGCCGTTGTCCAGGGTGACCACCCCCCCAATTGGCTACTTGGATAGGCTATAGCCCCCCTACGACCCATTAGGGTAGAAGAAGTTACCATAATGGATGGATGTTTGTGCTTATACATGATGGTAAACCTTTATATGACACATGATGATAAACCTATGATACAATGACAGGGAGGCTAGAATAGATCGCTCACAAAACTTGTAATTTGGTCCCACGAGGGGGGGGATCCATTGCATTTTGCTGGCCCTTATATTTCAAATAGACCGCTAAACCCCGAACCACTTCCTGAAGTGGTTAGCTGTGAGCTAATGTGAGCTAATCACTGTCAGCAGCTCACAAACTGCTGTCTGTCTCCCCTAACCCA